CACGTATCAATGCACCCAAAAACGATTCTACATAAAGTCGAACGAAACGCGAGAAAAATCGCGAATCGTTGAAATTGTTCCACTAGATCTAGTCGGATTATCCCGTGAAAACGATTCACGTGCTGGGGCGTTACGTCAGGAAGACGATCTTCCGCTAACGTGGCCGGTTAGTCCTCGCGCATTGTTGCGAACCGGAAATCGACTGAGCACGGAGGTCGAGGTTTTCTCGTGTTACAAAGCCACGGCTACGTTGCATCGTCGCGTTCTTCGAGTCAGGTGCACGAAAATAAAAGCGTCTAGACGCCAGACACTCCGTCATCTAACACCGGAAACCGCCGATTTGCATATCCATCTACAACCGTGTCCCTCCCTGTCACCGATTCCCCATTTTCCCCAGGAATTCCCTAGAATCGGGACTTCGTTTAGACAGCCACGCTCGTTGGTATTCGTGCCCAGTAAAATTCTGTCGTTGGAAACGCGGCGGAACGCGGGTCAAGGAACTACGGTTAGAAGAAAACCCTTTGAATAATTAAAGAAGGGCATTACAGTCAGGTGAGCGCTCGTTGCACCGGTGCAACGGTGCAACAGACTCACTGTCGTCCGGGGTTCCGATCGATTTCCCAGTCATTGACCCCCAGCACGATTATGCTAATACCTTGTCGCGGGTTTCTATCGCGATCTCCTATAACGACGTTCACATCCGGCACTCGAGAGCCTGTCTTTTTCCCTCGAATTTCCTCTCATCTTACTTTCTTTCTTGCCTTTCTTCTTACTCTCTTTCCGCGAGATTCCGCAGACGTAGGATTAAAATTCGTCTCCCAGGGAATAAAACATTGCCGTTCGCCTGAAATTTCCCGGGGAAAACTCGCGGGTAAAAAGAGAGTTTGCTTATTCGCCACACGTCTCAGCCACTTTTTCCCTTCGCGTGTGTCGCCCGTGTTACCACGCTCGTCTCGAGATAATGGATATTTGTATCGCTTCTCCACCCTGTCTACCGTCCCCGCACTTTCCGAAAGCCGAGTCGCTTGACAAATTGGCGAGTGGCTCGAAACCTGCCCGTGTAATCTGTTAAGTAAGATCGCACTGAAATCCATTTCGCCGACGAAAAGGAGTAGATCGAGTTTAAATGAAATTCACTCCCGAGATCCTTCGACGATATCCATTCTGACGGGCATTTTTAATTCGACGAAACCATTCGATGTTAACCCTAGTACGAGTGACTATAGTCACCGACTGCGAGACGTCATCTACACATAATGGGTGACTATAGTCACTGGCCATAAGAATTGAGTAAAAATTAACCCTTTGATATTAATTAATATATCAAATTTACAATTATCCAACGATGCGTGGAATACCGATGTAAAATAATTCTACGTCTTAATTTGCATACGATTTCTTATTTACCGTGTTAGAAATATCGTCGACTTTATGGCAGAAAGTCTTCGGATTACTATTTTCCTGTAAACGAAAAAATCGCCGAGTGCAAAGGGTTAAAACAAGTGCTATTATTCCTCTTCGCAAAGGATTGCAAACGCTATTGCAATGGTCGGTCTTTCCTCTTCTTTCCTCTTTTTCCTTCAAAAAATTTGGCCTCGAATGCTAAAGATTTCACGATCGTAATGTTTCCATCATTGGCACGACGCTTTGTTCTATGGGAGAGAATCGATAGCGCGAAAGAATCAGTTTCACAGGATATCTATTGCAGGAAAGGATTTTAGTAACTAGGCGCTTTGCTCCTCGGTAACTCTTGTAGGGTGGCGAATGGCGAAGGACTCTGTCAGATAATAAACAGCTCCTTGAAAAGCAAGGAGTAACGAACAGTGGTATCGGGTGTTTGTCGCAGAAAGAACAAATGATAACGGCAAATCCTTTTGTCGGTATGTCTGTAGAATGATTGAGAGAGAAAGCATGTGTATAGAATGAGATAAATCTGGCTTTAAATAGGGTTGCAAAGGCGCGAGGCAAGCAGACGGGGTGTAGTTGAGACGTTGAGTGTTATAATTGAGAGGAACCTGGTGTATGATGTCAATTAAATAGACTTGTTTTGTTATTAAAGAGAGTTGTTCTTTATTAGATACGCAGATTAGGATTAATATAGCTAAAAATCCTGTTTCTTCTTCGGCAGTCGTGGCAAGAGAAATATTCGATTTGCGTAGGATTGGAAAATTCGCACGAAGTAGGCTCGTAGCAGATATCAATCTTTCAATGGAAACACGCTTGCATTCCCCCAGGAACGATTGCAAGAACAAGCGATTCGTTCCCCTGTGCCAAACTCGCGTATAAAAGCATTAACGACGTAGTTCCTGCTCGCTATTATCACTCGCTATCACTCGCTAACCCTGTCTCACAGTTCGCAGAATTAATCCACAGTGACTTCCGACTGATTGGTCGGCTCATGGCTGAATCGAAAATTTCTGCGGATTCCAGTCTCCCCGAGAAAATATATTCGCTGCTTCCCCTGCCAATTATGTTTATTTTTTTCCGCGGGCAAATCATTTCTACGCGCGAATTTTCGCGGTAGAACCCACCGCCCTGGAAACTTTGCGAGCGATTAAGCTTCCGGTTCGACCCGGAAACGCGAATTGAAATCAGCTGGCTGCGGTACGAGCAGGGGTGAACTCTTCGAGCTACGAATTACCCCATTTCGCGACTCTTTCGTCGATGGAACTCGCCCTTGTCTGCGAGCTCATTTTTCCCGATTTATTTCAGCGTTATACTCTTCTCTCGAGAAATCGGACTTTATTTCGGAAATTTAATACGGATCTATGTAAAATGGAACACGCGTGCATTATAGTTCAGCCTAACATGGGATTTTTAGGTCACGCTGAGATTTGCACGGTACTATGTGGAGTATTGGCGAAAAAGTAATATTGGAATTTTTAATATTGCAGAAAATAGTGATCGTTTTCTTGCAAAAAAAATATTTTACTAAACGTCTGAAAACCATTGGGACTATTTCTCTCATAGGCGTACATTTGGACAATTTTCGCGTAGACCATAAAGAAATTTCGCGTGCTGAAAAATAATTTTATAACGAAAATTGGAAAATATCGAGGTATTGAGATCTATAATAAATATATATATAACAAAAATCGCACCGAAAATCCGATATTAATTATTAGCTAATTTAAAAATATATAAAAGCAGAGTTCAGGGACTATTTTTCCCATAGGTGTACATTTAGACAATTATCGAGTATAGTGTAAAATAACTCAGCGCGTTAAAAAATTATTTTTGAATATATTCGCCAACGTTAAAAGGTATCGAACCATTTTGATCCGTAATAAATAATTTCAATCAGCGCCATTGCTTCGTCCACACAAAAATGGCACTGAAAATCCGATATTATTTCTAAAAACGAGTTCGGACCACTCCTAAATTCTGTTGCTGGATGTCGAGCGAGATATGCGAAATGTTAGATACGGAACAGTTATCAAAGTCTCAGCTTCGATATAGCAGGCCGACTCGAACGACGGGTACAGTTAGAGTCGAATGCATGCCGTTAAACCGTTCCATGCAGCTTTTGCGGAGACGACCGCGATAAATCCGTCGATGCACGTGGATTCGCGTGATTCTCCGATGCGGCAAGCAGCCTGCACCAGAAACTTGCGATGCATCGCGTTTAACAACTAGTTCCGACCTACCAAACTGGGCTCCTCTTCGCGTGAGAACTGCTCGTGGCAATTTCCACGATCGATCCCCGATAGCTACTCGTCTCGCGATTTTCTATTCCGATTACCACTACACGCGTATCCGGGCAGAATAGAGAAAGGGAATTCCCGTAAATTTCGAACGAAGCTGGAGAAACTTGGCTGAGATATCGCGATAACGTCGTAGGTACTACGAGACGTTGGAAAATATTTTTATATTGCTTCTTGTACTTTAAATTCATTTTTCCGAGGATCGTCGACGAGGAGCTAGAAAGATGAACGTTTTATTAATACATCGACTGTCACGACGAATATTCGTGACCGAAATTTGTGTTCTCAGTGGGGCCACGGTGGTTATCGGTGCGACGACTGTTTTGGGTCAGTAAAATAACACGGATATCGTCCAACATGGATAACTAGACCATGTTACGAAACAAAGAGACATTACTCGACGATTAAAGGACACGTTTCTCCACTCTAAATTTCCAAACAATTATACCGTTTATCTCCCTTCCACTTAAATTACGCAACGACTATGACATATATCACGTTAATACACCTTGTACTCGATATCGGTAATTTTCGCCGGCTAGTAAATGTTATAATTTATGCCGCGAGGAAAATCATTAGAGAAGGTAACAGAAAATTGGTCTGCCACGAAACATATCGCGGAAAATGAATAGCACGGTGTACTATAAAGATACTTTATCGCAGCTGTCTAAGAGCTTTACATCGTGTAAAGGTAATATTCGTGGTGTAAAAAGGAAACGATCATGCCGAAGAAGTAAATCGTCCGATCCGTTAGGAAGGATTACTCGGTTGGCTTATGCGTGCCCTCCAGGAAGACCACTGCATGGCGCAGGAGAAAATCAATGCAGCGGTCCAGGGGTCTTAATCCAACGCGACCGGTCATCGACGTTTGATCCATTTTTCCCCAGGAGTAACTAGGAAATAAATTTCGCCCCGCCGGCCTCGTTACGTTCACCCTTCGACCTGGCAACCCTTCCTCCTGACCTACGTCCTACATCCGCTCGTGTCCTCGTTTTCCCCGTTGTTCTCGCCCCAAAAAGCGAGCTATCGGGGTTGCAGATGGAAAATATGCTCTTTAACGTTTGCTCCGCGCTCTTCCTCTCCTCTCTTCCTCCAATTCTTCTTTCCTTTCGTGCTGCACTCTTCCTCTCCCTTTTCTCTGTCCCTTCTGCCCCCTGTCTCCTTTCATTTCCGTTCAATGCCGCGAAGCTTTTAAGCACCCCGCCAGGAATGATGGAAATATTCGCGATTCGAGAGAATCTCGTCGTGGATCCACGCTCAATGTACCAACTGTGGCAATGCCCCTTTCTGTTGCAGGAATGTTCACTGTCGTGGACGGAACGCCGACCTTTCAGTACACCTTGTCCTCGTGGAAGATCATCGCCACGCATTACGGTGGATTAGCCGGTCTAACCTTGGTCGGACTCCTCCTAGCCGCCATTTTACCTTGCGTGGGCTTTTTATTCTGTTGCTGCAGGTGTGCTGGCCATTGCGGTGCCAGGAATCAACCGTTCGATAAGAAACACGATCATTGTAGGAAAGTGATGCTGAGCATGGTGCTCATGGCGGTCGCTACCATTATACTGTGAGCATGCTTCCTCCCTGTTTTCTTCCCTTTCGTATTTCACGTTTTTCATCGCTGCACGATTACTAATATCCGGCAGAATCGCGCTCGGGATCGGTAATTATCGAGTATTTCGGTTAATCGTTGACCCAAATAGCCTGCAAATAGCCTCCTCCTGCTCCAACGATATTTTCTCTCGTTAATTTGTCTGGAATACGGCTGAGCGAAATTTCTCTTTGTGCTCGGACCAGTATCCCCGATATTCATTCCAATGGAGGACTCGAATCCGTGTCGGTAAATAACCGATCGATAAGGAAATTTATTCGAACGTGGAACGAGTGGAAGAACGAGTCGAATCTATTCGGCAGCAGTCTATTGGACTGGTTTGTATCCTCTGAAAGATCGGCATGGCGAATGTGACTTGCAGGTTCGGCGTGGTCTGCGCCTTCGTGACGAACGAGTACATGCAAGACGGGACCAAGGAGTTTCCTCATAACATGAGGGTCAGCCTGAAAGACGTGAAACTGTATCTGAGCAGCACGAAGGAGGAGATCAATTACAGCCTCAAGACTAATTTCGACGAGCTGGAGATTAATCTGAACAACATCCTCCAGGCCAGCGGCAGAATTGTCACTGAACAACTCGCAGAGTACTCCCACGCGGTCTCGTTGACTAATCTAAGCGACATTGTGGCTAGCTTGGAGTCCATTAAGGAGGATCTCAAGATCATGCATACGATCACTCGCGATCTAAGGACGAATGCTAGCAAGCTGGACATCGGTACGTCGCCTATTTTCATTCTCGATACCGGTACTTTCATCCTTCTCCGATCTGTCAGGGTGAAAATCGGTCGAAACTAAATCCCAGACCTTCGCTGTAAAGCTAATTCTCGCGTAGAGAAATTTCGTTGTCGATATATCGAAAATTTGCGAAGATTTTACGCAATGACCGCGAGACCGATCGGAACCGTGAATGTTTTAACCCTTTGCAGACGAGTGCTATATGCGTTTTGTGGAAGTCATCAGTTTAGGACCCTCGCGTCCCAAGTGGTGGACTGTTTTATGTCCTTGTTGTGGGCGTTGTTATGAACGAAAATCGCGTTTAACCCTTTGCTACTACGGGCGACTATAGTCACCGGTTATGAGACGCCATCTACACACGACGGGTGACTATAGTCACCGGCCACAAAAATTAACCCTTTTGCTCCTACGGGTGACTATAGTCACCGACTACGAGACGTCATCTACACACGACAGATGACTATAGTCACCGGCCACAAAAGTTGAGTAAAGAATTAAGACAAGTGCTCTCGTTCCTCTTGGCTCTCTTCGCAAAGAATTGCAAACTCTATTGCGATGGTCAGTTTTTCCTTTTCTTTTTTCCTTCGAAAGATTTGCATCAAAAGACCGAATGCTAAAGATTGCACTGTCGTAATGCTACCATCTTTGACACGTCGCTTCGTTCTACGGGGGAGGCTTCGCGACGATGCCCACCGTAGCAAAAGGGTTAAGCAGAAATGAGCGTTGATAGTTTTGAATGACCCATCTCAGTCCCATGGTACTGTTTAATCAAAACTGCTCGTCCGCAAAGGATTAACACTTTGACTGCCACGTTGGTCATATATGATCGGCCACGGTTTCTCCTGTGACGCCATGGTGGTCATTAGTGAAGGGAGCGCTTGAACTACTTAACACGTTGACTGCCGCGCTCATTTTACGTGATTTACTTATGGCACCAACGTGAATTTCTTATCATGCGATATATATTATGTTGAAGTATGCTCTACAGCAGATTGGGTATATATTGAGTAATATAATCGTGTTTAATGCATTTTTCGTGGTGGAGGTCACCGATGACCACTAAGGTGCTGTAATCGAGTCGAGTACCGATCACCACAGCAGTCAACCTGTTAATTTTGTATTTTTACTATTGGTCCCGTTGCCGGGCATCGGTGAACCCCAGTCAACGTTGACTACATTGAATCTACATTGAACTACATTGAACAATATTGAATGAAAATTGACAGTTAGTGCATTTCGAATATAACCGCTAATTAGAAGATACTTTGAAATAAAGAGTGCCCCATTGAACAATTAAAAATTTTTATTAGAACATCAAAAGAATATCAGAACAAGTCTCGCATCTAGCTGTGCACTCCCATGACGTCCTGGGGGAAACATGTGATTTTGGCAGTGAAAGGGTTAACAGAGACAGCCTGTTAGCGAATGCTGTTTGTATTGCAGTTGTACGAGGCGTTAAGAACAATCTGCTCCACACTCTCGCTGCTTGCAAGAGCCGATATTGCGAGGAGGTGCTGCACATTTTCAACGTGAATCAGATGTCGGTTCAAGTAGACTTCGACAAGGTATTTCTGCGCTTTTCATTCTCTCCTGTATCGTCGCAATGTCAGCGATCTAATCTTCTTTCTCCTTTACATGCATACAGTACATGGACCGATACTTCCCCAAGGTATGATTTTACCTATGTTACCTACTCGCCTATGTTAATGCTCCTTTGATTTCTCGCGTTGATCCGGGACAGAGGTTATCTCTGCATCTTTTGTTCTCTCACTTTCTTAATTTGATTCCGCTGCTTCTTTCTATGCCAGAAGAAAGACCAATTTTATCACGTTTAACACGTTGAGTGCTACGTCAGTCCCTGGGGACTGACAGTAGGCTTTTCGTTTGGACGGTGTGGATTCTAGGAACTGACAGCGAACTTTTCGTTTGGTCGACATCGGTGCGTGAGACCGGCATTGTCAAAGGTTAAATTATCGACAATTAATATATTGAAAAATCTAGATTCCCTCTGCTGAAGTAAATCTTTACACTTCCGTAGCTTTTTCCTACTAATCGTCTCTTGGTGATCGCCTTTTTGCCTTCCTGGCATTCCCATCCCTTTATCTTCTGCTTATAATTTGCATATTTGTGCATTGGCGCTCCATTCTCACAGTCCAAATAACAAAGTGAAACAAAGTAATCTTCTGTTCATACTCTTCGGTATACTTGAACGCTCTGCATCTAGTGCTCACTCGGAAAGTATAGCAAAATCGGCTCCGCACTCAACGTGTTAACTCGGCCGAGCTCGAAATTCTGATAGTGAACTGAATGAGCATTAGGTAACCTTCTTCTGCCACTGTCTTTCCGATTTCTAATTACGATTAGCAGGATCGCGTTATCGATGTCGGCTGATCCGTTCGGTGTCATTTATTTTCCTTAATTCTCCGCGGATGTTCAACCATTGCTTTACGAGCAGAATTATCGTGTTTACTTATCTGATTCCATGCTTACCACCAAATAGCTTCAGTCTGTAAGTCATAAGCTAAAGCATGTCAACTTTTCATTCTGTGTACCGTTCATTAATATGTGTATCGTTCATTTCAATCTTACCTCTGTTAAGTGTAACGTTTCACAGTGATCTGATAAATCTTACCACCCCGTGGTTCAACTCGATCTCGAGGCAAGGGGGAGGTTGCATTTCTGCCGGGGCAGAATTTCCAGAATTTCCAGAATTTCCAGAATTTCCAGAATTTCCAACGTGCACGAAATAGACAAGTAAAAAGGAAAAAGAAAAGAAAATCATCGAGAAGGAATGAAGCTTCTCCTATATTGCACAGTTTCTCTTGCTCCGTTTCTGAATTGAGATCTGTCGAACACATCTTGGATATACTTTATTTCCAGCCCGAGCACTCTTTGCATTCTGTCAGACTACGGCGAAGAGCTTTCCAGAGACTTCGTACGTTTCAGTGCACTTTTCACGATACACACACACACACATACACTTCCATATGCTCTCTTTTTCTCTTGCCCATTAACATACGTGGAAACTGTCTATTTAAATAGCGAGCATGACACTTTCCATATCGGTGCCTCTAACTGTCCTACATTTTCTCGTTTAATGTTTCATTAAGGCATAATCGTTTTATCTCACGTTTTCCCGATGGACGCTGACGATTCGTGTACCCTTGACGACTTATGTCGAACGATCACGCGTGATTTTTCCAGTTGCCAAACGTCACGTCCGCCCTGCGCAATATCACCATGCTGTTGGAGAGCAACATCGTGTCGGAGGTGAGCCAGGGTAAGGAGTCGTTCCTGAAGATTCAGGAGGACATCCAACACGCCGTGAATCAGACCATTCCCATGGTCAGCGCGAGCATCGGGAGAGCCGGGGACTTTCTGGGGATTCTCGCGAAGAACATGACAATGCTCATCGATAGGATAAACGGCGACATAGACAAGTCGTACATGAAAGACCTGGATGTCGCGCAATCGCATATCGATCAGTATTCGCCGTACAGGTAAGACAGATTGTCGATACAGATTTCGAAACATATTTCTGACGAGTCTATTTTTCTAGGTACTATCTTGGTCTTGGAATATCCGGGATTCTGTTAATGATCTTCATATGTCTAACCTTCGGCCTCTTCTGTGGCATTTATGGCAAGCGTCCAGACGGTTATGGAGACGACTGCTGCAACAAGGGGTCTGGAGCACGATTTCTTATGATGTAAGGTCTCAGGATCGTATCGATCAACAACGGGTTTAGAGTCGATTCGATTACACTATGTTTCGCGCAATTTACGTCTAGGGCTGTTTGGAACATCTTTCTTTTAACGAGCGTTCTGATGGTGATCACCGTGGTGCACATGATCGTCGGCGTTCTGGTGCAGAGAGCAGTTTGTGAGCCGTTAAAGAATCCGCAGGATAACAGGATGTTTGCCTTGGTCGACGAAGTCGTTCAGATCAAGAAGATGCTGTACCCTGACAACCCTAATGCCGATATCAATATGAGCTATATAGTCACGTAAGTGGCTTGTTATTTATACCGTCAGTTATGTAGGAAAGGAATAGGTACCACTCTGAAAGAATGTCAACAGTGTTTGGACTTAGAACAAAAGTGACCGCGTGCAAGAGGATCGAATGTAAGGGATGTTTATGACAGAGCCGAATGCATGCGAAGAATGAAAGCCTAGGAACGCGTCTGACTGTTTAGGATACTTCACCGACCAATTGAGAAAGAGAGCGTGGGGTTTGGAAGGGTATAAATAAGAGTGCAAGAACGCGGAAGGGTCAGAAAGTATGTGTTTTAGAGTCAAAGAGTATCAGAGCGTGTCAGAGTGTTTTAGAGTCAGTCATTGAGCTTTGATAGCGAGTGAGAGTCAGCCGAGAGTTATTAGAGAGTAGAACAAGTTTTAGTTTCAAATAAATCATCTTTATATTTACGTCACTACTTATTCTGTTGCCTACCCAACATTCCTACAGTTATGTCAAATGAAAGATCGAATGACCTACCTGTTTCTGTTTCAACAGACACTGTCATCGGAACGAAACGCTGTATAAAGTACTGAAGCTGGAAAACATCTTCGACGTGGGCACCTTGCGCGAGTATGCCGGCCGATACGACATAAACAACACTATTCAGCAGTTGCGTCGCAAGATCAGTCTTTCACCGGGCGTAGTCATCCTGAGGAACAGCGCGAAATCGAAACTGCACGATCTCGCGCGAAGCGGCCTCAGTGATATCAAGTTCTATCAATACATGGAGATTCTCGAGGATAATATCACGAACATTAATCTGCTACATCTAGCGCACGAATTGTTCATTATAGCGAGTAAGCTGGGCGACGATGGACAAGAGGACATTCGTCACAGTGTGCAGAATAACCGGATTGAGTTAGAACATATTCATCACCAGTTGGTGAGACCTATGGCAATGCTCAGTGAACAATTAGTCGCGAGAGCTATGGCGCTCGAGGAAAAGATAAGGTTTAACCACAGTTCCATGGCGGAAGCCATTCACAATCTCGTGGACGAAGTGACAAAGGCGCAGCAGTTCTTGAATAAAGACGGGCCAGAATTCGTACAGCAAGTAAGTTTCGTAGGCTGGTCGACGATGACTGATACGTACCTGCCTCTGCCAGAGTAATCGAATGAAATTACATCATGACGACATGGTGGTTTTTGATTGCAGCTGGCAACCAAATTCGGAAACGCTTTCCTGCGTCAAGTCGACGATTTCCTCGATCAAGTTACCGATAGTGCGCTGTTCAAGGTAGGAAAATGTGGTCCCGTTTCGAATGCATATGACGCCGCACTGGTCGCAGGATGCAACAAGATCTTAGACCCATTTGTAAGCGATAACTTTATTGCTTATCATTTTTCTAATTAAGTTACAGCATTACGATTCTTATTGCTCGTTCGCAGAATGGTTTCTGGGTGAGCGTGGGCTGGTGTTTAATCCTCTTCATCCCGACCATCGTGTTGTGCGTGAAACTGAGCGCGCTGTACCAGAAATCGGATCCCTATCCTGGACCTCTAGTCGAAGCGTAAGTTTCTGCCATTTTTCTCCCATATAAAACCCAACGCTATTAAATGTTTCCAAGATATAATTAGTTTTCCAGAGCATGCCAATTTGAAGTTACCAAATTCTCCTTTGTTGTGAAATCGGGATCATTCGATATCATTCATTAAATCTAGAAAAAGAAGAAAAGAAGTGCAAATTTCAACTCGCTCGTGTGACATTTTGTACAAGCTTAGATACAAACCATTGGCCTCATTGTCGTTCTGAAATTTTAGGATAATTCTAAGAAGACAATGGCAAATTTAATTACTCATTACATTCACTCGGAAACAATCGCTTCTATGATTTCTACGCTAATTTCTGGCCAGCAAATTCTGAGCATCCTTTATGTAGAAAGTGTTGGGCCTTTTGCCTCAGTCTAGTAGTTAATCGAGCTTCCATATTATCCTTAGCATGCATTTACTCGCGCTTGCGATATCTCTTCATTTTCTAGTCGGCATGAATCACCCTACTATTTTGTTTAGCGAATCTAAAAATTGCATCGCCAATTCTCTCAGCACATCTCGTGCGGATCAATAAACGCGTTAATCTCTGTAAGCGCAGAACGCTGCCTTCGCTTTCAATTTCCGACTTCTCGGTGCGTCCGTCAGCTACCAACTAATTATCTTGTCGTGTCGGTTGTACGTGTCTTCTTTTCTCGAAGAACGTACCACGAGAGAGAAGAACAGTAACGTTTGGCTCGGAAACTGTTCTTCGTAACAGGGATTCGATTGTCCGATATCTTGGCGAAAACTTCACATTTCTTTTGCCATTATTTTCCTTACGATTTTAAATTCGAGACTGCAAGCTCCTACTTGTATCTATGATCTTCGAAAGACCATATCGGACGCTCGAATCTCTCCGTTTTACCAATGCTGTAGTTCATATTAAATTAAAAGTAGCTGTCTAATGTGTGGAATGGTTGTTGGAATCTAACCGCTAACACGCTCCGTTCCAGTGAATATTTGTATGACGCGTACGCAGACAGGGATAACATACCCCTTACTCAGTAAGTATACAACAAGAACAGCCAAGTTGCTCGCATGCTGGATTATGTTGATCGCGTAGCACGTCTGTAAATCCTTAATTAACGCTGTGAACATAACTTAATTGTTCGTTCCACTTAATTGTTCGACCCATCACTCTCCGGCCTTGAACATTTTCTTCGCTGTCATCCAGACGCGTTATGTGAAAATTTATTTACTAGTTTACTTAGATCTATTATTCTCTTTGTCTGCATGAAACATATCGTAGTCTTAACACGACCAGCACCCTAGACAACGTACTGTGGGATCATCGTTATCTCTTTCGATAAATAATCTACGAAATAAAACTACGTATACTTATACCTAAATACCTTCAACGTAGATCCTACAGTATCGTTATGGTCACCTAGGTGAAATAGTGTTTAAAATTTATATCGATTAAACTTTCATTTTCTGCTACTCGATCTTCGCCTTTGACACCTTCTTGACTCGCAGAATGAACACACACACAGGGCGTCTGACACATCCTCTGGTCCAGAAGGTGTTAAATCGTTGATGTATTAGTACTAACGCTCGTGTATAATCTTTTGGAGCTTTAAACTAGCAATCGCGTGAAAAACGAGCCTTTCTTTCCTTTTTTTTTTTTTCTTTCTTTTCCTTGAACGTACGATATCTGACTTTAGTGTCATGAAGGCTAGTCCTTGTCGCGTGTCAAGCTATCTAGGACATTAACGATACACTTAACACGCAGAAACAGCTTAGCAAACAGTACACTGATATTTCTCTAACTCGCATGACGAGTGGCGCTCGACCCGCGATTAACTCGACTGAAACGTTCCTTTTCCTTGCAGTGTTCACGACAAGAAATACGTGTCACATAGCAGAGACCCTTACGCAAAGTACGAAAGCTACGATGGTCCCGCGGGTGGATACAGTGAACGGGAAAAAGGGCCGGGAGCGCACCAGAGCACGTCCCACTCCCATCACTATTCCAGATACTCTGACGTGGCGCCGAAGTAAGTGTCCGAACGAGTCACTTGAGATTCATGAACCGAAAACTTCTTAAAGCGAGAGAATTATTCGCATTTCCCGAAACAAATCTCCCCAAGAGGAACCGCGTACGTCTCGTTAGGGAACCACGTTCGATTGCCAAAGAATCGTACTGTCGCTTTAAGGATTTCTTTTTTCGTTCTACTCATTTCACTCGAATCGTCATCTTGCATTTCTTGAATGATAAATGGAATGAAAGAAAAAAAAGAGAAATTCCGTTGTCGATCTAGCGAAGCGTGGAATGCGTTCTTGGGGGTTGTTCAGACCTAAGGGTCGTTTCTCGCGGGTGTCGCGTACGTAAACACGCTGTTGAACGATTCTGGATAATACAGTAGGTCTTTTAAATCGACGACTTCCCTTTCATTTCTCCGGTTCACTAGTTCATCTCTGATTTATTTTGCAGTTCCACCCCCACGTGGCGAAGCCACGAACATACCGCCCCTTCCAAAACTGAACCTCACAATAAAGTCTTTAGCATATCGGTAGAAACGCAGTAAGTCTTGCAACATCCTTTCGGAGCGGCCAAACTTTAAAACTCAGCTTTCTGTGACACGTTACGCAATTTTTTCTGTTCTTACCCGTCAACTTATTTACTCTCGGTACCTGTCATTACTCTCGGGGCCTGATCTTTCACCACCACCGATCTTTCCTTTCGTTCTCTTTTACTTTCCAATTTTTATTTCTCGTCTCCTCTTCACCGGTGAGCAGGGTTCCCACTCATCGCGCGATATTCTTTTCCTCACTTTTGTTTCTCCGATTCTTTTCAACGCTCAACTTAATCGAGGATGGGATGAAGTTGCGTAGAGAAACTTGCACGATACTTTATAAGCTCAGGACGGCATTTGAAACTCGGCGAGTTCCGATGTATGCTTGTAAGTACACGTAAGAAATCTAGTGAATGACGAACCACTTAAGAACTCGAATAGCGTTGTTGTGCTCTATCGTAGTTGTAAACGGACCACGAGCAAACGTTACACCTTGCCGACGTTTCGTCTCGTATTTTGTGTAACGAGTTAACCATAGTATCTCATCTTCCCTCGCATCTGTTCTACCAGCAACCACAAAAGAAGTATGAACTGCATGACTTACCCTGTACGATATATCATCGAGAATACAGCATATCTTGAAGGGGTCAAGTAGCTCAATGATCTATTAACATCTCCAAGCATCTATTCGTTCATCCATGAAATGTTAAAATCACCTGCTCGACCCGTTCAATATATCACGAATTTGATCTTCCATTTATATCATTCTCACTTCATTCTATCTTTTGTTCCTACTCAATGGTAACCCTTTTTTTTTTAAATTAAGCATTCGTAAAAGGTTCGAGCATATTTCATTAGATTCCAGTGCCATCTTCAAGTAAAATGTTATTGATATATATATCCGAATGAATTATAAATATCTATACCTATTTAAGACGAAGAAAAAAGAAATCTTAAAAGTATCGTTGTAAGGTGCAATGTGTTGTTGACACCATGCAAGTTATTCTTGATCCCATCCGTACATCTCTTGCAACCCCGTTGGTCACGCTTTTTTTCCCGGTTATTTCCAGGTGAGTGGGAACCTTGCGGGGGGGCAACTTCTCGCGTCTCTCGATATGCCTCTGCACGTAAGTCGCAAGACAGATTGTTATCAATTGTGTCTCCGTACTTCGTTTTCCTTAGTTCGTTCTTTTTTTCGACTCGTTTGCGTCGCAAGCAATAGCTTCGCTAGAGCTTTTGCAGGAAAAAGATAAAAGTAACGTAACGCGTGAGGTTGTGTGCGACCACGTTAAAGTTAGCTACAGAGACTCGCGTGGTATCGGCGATTATGCTACATTATGCTACTCGGTTCAGCCGTGTCTCAGAAGATACGCAGGATCGCAAAAGAGCATGTACGAGTCCGAAATTCGAGTCACCTTTTTTTTTTTTTTCTTTTCACAGGCGATCACACGGTGTAAAGTTTACTTTGATTTCGCTTCAGCAGCTTCGTCATTCGTTTGTTCGCTAAAGGCATACGTACGCTATGGCAAAATGATAACTTTCTTCGATGTTCGAGAATACTGTACTTGAAATTTTTTCTTTTTTTTTCTGCTCGTTGTTCCACACGTTTGACGAAGAGTAGAGACTAAGTCGCGTGCGAACGGCCATTTTTTCGCGATTTCATTGACACCGACGGATGTCGTTGCAGAAATTGTGACTTCCCTAATGGTGGTCCTCCTGGATACCAGCCAGCTGCAGCGGCTCCACCTCCGCTAAGCACGGAATACGAGCGACCACCTCCCTATTATTATTATCCTGGGCCAGGGTGAGTTTCATCTCCACTTTTCAATCTTTACGTAAAGCCACCGATTCCCAATTCTTCTCAAAACGTTCGTGCTTCCCGATTATTATTCGCATCGTGCCAATGTTTAGAACTGGGTATACCAGTGGTATTTGCTACCTTCGAGCATAATCGTATAGAGGAATTAACCCTTTCGTCACGGCAGTGCGCTCCGCTGAAGTGGCGCCACTGAACGGGGTACCGTGACGCCTGAGTAACGTCACCGAACGGACCACTGCGCCGCGTGCAAACGTGGATGCCTATAGCCGGCGCCTGTACACACAGGTCATCGCATGGATGCCGTCCATGTCGTCTGTGCCGGCGCTCGTAACGAAAGGGTTAATAATCGTCGACTTACGAATTATGTTCAGCTGTAATGTCAATGTGGATATGTAAATGATACTTTTGTAATGATTTTCAGGGACACAAATTAGGAAACAAGTGCCGTGGCATGCACAAAGGTAGCGCTGAGTAGCGTGGCTACACACAGTCTCACCCGCAGTTACAAAAGGACGCTCAGAAGGAAAGAGAAATCCGGATGCAAGCGAGACTACGTTTAATTGTAGCGTTCCTGTTTGAGCGTGCCACGGACCGTGCGAACGGCGAAATTAATTAAAGACCAAGTTTGATACAGACTGAGGTAGGCTAAATGGATCCTTCGGCGAGCTGCAAGTAGTGTGATCAATGTGTGCGATTCGTTTCGTTTAGTATTATTTCTAGACATCGTGCTTATCGCGAGAGCAATGTTGCGTTGTGCCGAATACCGTTTTCCCTTTTCTTTTTCTTCGCGATGATTTTCTTTCATTTTCAACAGCGCTTCAACATTTATCGTTACCTTTTCTGTCTGTACTATTTGTCCGTTTCCCTCCTTTTGTAAATTACGAGACGATCTGTAATGATGCGATGATTTACATCGTTTGTGCTATGTTAATCGTTGGACAATCGACTTTTAATACGACTGATATCGTTTACCACCGTTTACTTCGACGTTCAATATTTCTTCCATCAAATGCCATCGTGACCAAGGTCTCCTCTATCATCATCCATCGACTCGTCTTCGAGATTTGCGGTTGTTACTCCGAACTTTGAATCCTGATTCTCGAAGACGCGTCGATTATCTTCTCATTGTTGCTCGAGAGGCATTTCGAAGCTTTGCAAGGAAATTTTTCTGTGAAACCCTTAGTTTTCCTCTGGCATTTAGTTCCTAATACACAACACACAGGATTGAAATCATCGTCTGCATTAACCAGTATTAATGAAAGTTCATTATCGTGCCTCCCTTGTTGACCCACTGCCGTACGCTTCTCTTTCACCGAACACACAGCGATCTGCCTCTGTTCGGGAAGTAGCGAACGTGTATATAACATTCAGCCGCTTGTGTCTTATGAATTTTCATCGTCTTTTACGTGAATTGCCTACCAAGGAACAACAACTAAGTACACAGAATGACTATGATGACAATGGCTCCGCGCCAACACGTCGGCGAGCCGTCGTTAAAAAGGAACACGTGCGATCGATTCGAACACGTATCAGCGTTTCTGCGTTTGCTGTATAGAAGTTAGGGAAATTTCCTCGATCCTTCGCATAGGAACCAATCGATCACACTTCGAATTTACTTGTTATCGTATCGAGCACGAGATTTCTCTTCGATGCGACTTTGAATCTATGTACTCGCGAAATATTATATTCATTTCACCACCGAACTATGTTCGATCGTGCACATCGAGGGAGTTAGCATCGAATACCACGGTGGAAACATCGAGGTCCGTTCACGAAATTAGGTTCACTTGGAACGAGACTGCCATTCTGAACGACATTGCGCAAGTGATGAAGCACCGGGTTTTCGAATCACGTCGATCGCACAGTTTCCATGAATTATTCGCGAAGATCCTCGGTGCGAGGTTGATACCTGACCAACGATTTTTCGCGATCTCGAGCACTCAACAACGCCATATTTAAATGCCAAACGACATTCTTTAACGTGGACCGTGGAGTTCGGACGTGCACGGTGCTGGTTGGAACTCGACGGTCCATTTGTCCTCGATCTTGCTGGATCGTTCGTAGATATAAGAAAATCCAGAGACCAGCTTCCGTCACGCCACGTACCGGAAACCATCGGCTTCCTCTCGGTGACGGAAGTTCGTTTCGCCGCAAGATCGTCGCTACAAAATATTCTATGTACATGGTTCTTTAAGTAGACGTTTTTTCTTACTATTAACTTTACCCTGTAATTTACCGATCTAAGCTCCTAGAGGGATATTTCCGAGTCGCATAGAAGTTGTACGTTTATGCTGTGTCTACGCGACGCGCGAATATCTCGGTGAACAGATGCAACATCCGTACAGTATTTCGATGTAAAGAGCGAATGTTTTAAGAACGGCGAGGAGGTGCGTTTCGCGCAGGCTTATTCTTTGTATGTTACAGACTGCTTAGGAAACGTTGCAACCTCCCGTCATTTGAAAGTCTTTTGGAAGCTGTAATGCGATTAGGGAACTGACTCCTTGCAGTCCGGTGACTACGTTTCATCTAGGAATATAAGGCAAGCGGGAAATATGTCGAACATCTAGTTTTTAAACCGAAAATTAATGTACAAGCTCAGTCTACAGACGACTGCAACGGGTTAAGGGGATGTTAAGCGTTCCGAATTTTCAATTTAGATACCTTTTAGGAATTGAAGTACCGATTGGTACAAGTTCACGGGAGGTAGGGCACGGATCTGAATTGGACTTGTACCAGTCGACGTCCGTATCTCGTTCGTAGATCGAAGTTCGATGGTGTTTCGAAGTGCTTCTCATCGGACTCCAGTGATCCAATAAGTTGCTGTACAGCGAGGAAGCATCGGGATGTTGCATTATCCGTAGAGAACCTGTTTCACATAATCGTTGCCATTGCGAGCAGCGAATTTTAACGTTAACATTGTACGGTAGATTACGCCGCCCATGCAACGGTCACTGATCGATCGTTCGCAGACTGCCAAAAAAAGAAAAAAAAAAAAAAACGAAAAAAACGTAAAAAAAAAAAAAAAAAAAAGGAAGGGAGTATGTGAGGATCGCGTGAAAGGCAAACCATACCTCTGAATGATTGTCCAATAAAAATGGAGAGAGGGGCGAAGAAGAGAGGGAAGTTGGCGAGAGGAGAACACGATTTTCCGCTCTATCATTACTGTATTTACATACACATTTAGCATAGTGGAAAGTAAGCTACGTTTTTAGCGTAATATCGACGGAAACACAGATATCAATCGTTGTTGTATGTATGGGAAATCGAGGAACCGTGATGTTTTTTTTTTCTCTGTTTTTTTGAATTTTTTTTTTCAGGCACGTTAAGAAAAGAAGACGTAATAATCGATTGCTGTGTGGACTCGCAAAACTATTTTATCCGGTGGACTATATTAGCCATGTCTCGTGAAATGTGGGTGAAAAACGGGCCGGAGAACGAGTGCCGTGCGAAAATTCGTGCGAATCGCACGAATTATGAAAAATTACTATTGTCGTGTGCCGTTGAAAGGCACCGCGGAAACCATTTTTCTGGTGCTATTTTTATATGGATAAACGTAGCGACGATTTGATATCGGGCACTCCTTCTCTACATTTTGGAACACGTCGTGTAAAGTGTTTAAAGACATGGGGACTTTCGACCGTTGCGAAATAAAAGGAACACTCTTTTTACTGCCTTCTAGGTAAAACCACTGAATATAAGTTGAGATTTTCTATGACTCTTGGGGTCGATCCCTTTCTCGGTAGTCGAGGTTTTCCGTCGTGCAACGTGTCGGTTCTCGCAAGAATCAGATCTCGGCAATATCCTAGCGTAATTGACGGCAACACTTTTCCCAGACAGGCCGAACATTTTCCAAGAGCTTTTTCTCGCAAACGTCCCGAGGGAGTAAAATGATCTTGGGTATTTCGATGTTAAATAAACATAGTTTCCTAAGTGTAAAAGAAAACCTTAAAAGTATCGGCATGATCTCGCACGTGAAAACACTGATTACTGACAGACGACACGCGAGTTTTAAGCGATTTATTGTATTATTAGAGATATTTATATTTCGAGAGGGTAATCGTTCAAGAGTTTCCTTGCATTTTTCTTGTCTGCTCAATATCTTCGGGATACCAGTAACGTTCAAGCTGGGTATTCCTCTTTGTTTCTTTTGCTGAACTTCAGCAGCCATTCCATCGGAATGGTTTTGTGGAAAATCACGAGGAGGATCGAAATGTATTTCCGAATCACCGTGACTTTCCAAAAAATTCATTTCGTTTCGAAGAATGTCGAATTTTTGATCGGAGATGTGCAAGTATGCGAATGTGGTGTATGCCATCGACTATGGTGTTTTTACGATTCACCGATTGTGTTTGTTAAAATTAATTATTATTGCTATGACAATTCTCGACACGGATTTTTCAGGTACAGGCATACACATTCTTGCTATAATTGGTGTACATACTTCAACACGCGTGCAAAACGCATTAACATTCCTCGGATGTTCAGCGTGGTAAGATAAGGTTACGTTTGCAGGTTTAACGATAACTATCGGACTCTGTCCACTCGATTAGTATCGTCAACAATTAATTCTGTTATCTTTTCCCCATTTGCGCATCACTCGGATAATCTGCTCTACTTGCGAGTTCGACGTGTTCTTCAAAAGCTGTATAATTTCAGGTAACAGCTCTCTAAGCACATTATGCACGAATTATCATCGACGAATATCAATGAATAAATTAGGAAGAAGTAAAATTGTTTACCTCGGTTGCTTTTCAGCCACGACGTATTGAAACGTGCCGCAACAGGCACCACGTTTCCCTTCCCAATTTTCCGGGCTTGGATCCATCCTCTCCAGCATGTCGAAAGCCTTAGCTGCGTACCAAAATTCGCCGACCTTGTAACAATCGTTGGCTATCAATTGAAGCAAATTGAACGATTCCGTGGTCGTGTCCATCTTCAGATACAGCTCCCAGGCCAACTGAGGTTTCTTGTTCATTATAACTACCTCGGAATAAGAAAATGGAAGTAGACCAATTGATTCCTTTTGACATTAAACGTATCCGGGCCACTTACAGCAGTGCGCCAGGAGGCTAATGTAAATGTAATCGTTCTTGTATTTCTCGTTTCGTATATTCAAGAATGCCTCCTCCGCCTCTTTGAAGTAGCCCGCAGCAGTTTGTGCCTGGGCATAATTGAAGTTGAAGTTGTCCTCGTTGGAGAAGTACGTCTTAATTGAGTTCAGGTAAAACAGAACCTCCTCGAACTGATGGTAAAGGAAGAAGCAAGAGGCCATGCATTGTCTGCCAGGTATGGTATCGCATTCCGACACCGAGGAACCCACTAATTGGAAATATTGTTGCGCCGTTTTCACATTATCGCGCTGAAAACAAGCTCGTTAATCGCTTTATTCGCTTTCCAGGTGTGCGATCTTTGCGTGGGAACTCACGGAATTCGTTTCTTGTCCCATTACTGCGTTCACTATCCCTTTTAGAATATATTCCTGGGGCACAGCTGGTTCAAGATCCTTGATTAATTCGAAAGCTTCTCGCACGTCGTCTTGTTTCAAGTAATAAATCACGAGATTCAACCTAGCTTCTGGTATAACGTCCACCAAATTCGGCAAAATTTGCAATGCTCCTTCGCCACCTTTAAATACCTAAAAATATATATATATATTTTTTCCTTGTACCCTCTGGATGCGATTATAAAAGAATGTGTGAATGTTACATACCACTGTGTTGTGACGTATAAGATCGTGACTGAAGCTGAAGGAACTGGACATCTTCTCTACTAGTTGCTTCATCTCATTTTGCGCAGCATTACCATTGTACAACCGAAAATGATTGCACGCCTTTAAATTTATGGCGATTGCACTGTCAGGATACTTCTGCAGATAAACTTGGAGAACTTCTTGGGCCACGTCATAGTAGTCCAATTTGTAATAGCACAGGGCAACGTACACGTTCAGTGCGAAGTAATCCCTGTAAGAAGAACAAGTATTTGATAAAAGCTTGGAGAATGAACGGCGAAATTATGCGAGTGGCGAGAATGACAGGAGAAGGAAGGAGGAGGGTAGTGGGTACCTGGAAGCTTTTAATTCTTTGATCAAATGTATATCTGAATTTTTATCGCTGTGATTTTCATCGACGCTACTCGAATCGTCGCTATCAAAGTCCCTGAGGAATATCTTCGAATAAAATATCAAAATTCAAACTGTTTATTTAACGAAATGAACGCAGTTAGGCGACAACCTGTTCTCCAGTAAGATCTTTTTATAAACATCAATGGCCTCCTGGTAATGTGCTCTGAGATAATGGATAGAGGCCAGGCTAAGTTGATCCTCTATTATGTCCTCCAGCATGTGATGGTACTCCATTAATTTCGCCTCGTTGCTCATTTTGTGTGCTAGGTGAAACAAAAGTCTGGTCTTCAGTTTACTGTATGGTGCATCTTCCAGAATATTTTGCGATTCAGGGTACATCCCGAGATAAAAATAACAGCATGCTAAATTCGTCGACGAATCCGCTGGTGTGTGTTCCTTTTTCCTTAGACTCTCGTAAATCGTGGCCGCACGTTTGTAGTCCCCAAGATGAAAAGCACAGTAACCCATCCATAGTTCGGAGTTTAGAGTACTCTCCGTGGCGTTGTTGAACTCCAACAACGTCAAGGCACCTGTATAATCACGCTTCTCCAGGAACTCCTCTAATTTAGGGATCTTCTTGTCCGATGCAGACTTCTTCACGCCTTCGGAAGATGCTGGCTTAACTCTTGATAGGATCTGTTGAAGTTTTCGTTGGAAATATTAATTTTTCACTTCGGATGAGACGATAGCGTAAATAGAAATAGTACAAAAGACTGTATTTATGAGAAATATTTTTTTATCAAAGTATTTCACTGATAAACAATGTATATTTAAGGAGAAAGAAAATACGAAGCGATGTTTACCATTTTCGATCACCGTTGCTAATGGATACGTAAATTTATCGATTACCTTTAGGTCGTAAAAGCGAATGGAAACATCGCCATATTTGTTTAATACAGATAATAGTATTTGGGAAAATAGATTATTCAATGGAGAAGAAAATTTTTAAATCGAGGAATTTTTATCGCTGACTTAAATATTTCAAATTCAATTTTCTGGGTTGGCTACCTCCAGATGTCAGTTCAGTAGCGATAAAATCTAAGCCCTTTTGCTCGAAAGTTAAATGTTCTTTATTTTTTCTTTATTTCTAAAGTAGTATTTATGTAAGGAATTGAATTTTACATTGTACAATGTTAACATTATTATTTGGTTTAAGTACTAGTATTTTGCACATGAGAAACGTTCAAGGACTCCGAGAGTCTGTAGTTCGTTAAATTGCATAGAATTGGAAGAAATTTTAGCTGAGCGAATTTGTTGTTAAAAAATTTACATCGGATTCGACCTATAAGTCAAACTGATAGAAAACAAAAATTGTCAGAACGCGACCGACTGTCGTGGAGGTTACATTGCCGGTGGTGTTTGCGTATTTCTTTTCGTAATGTTGGAAGGTGTCAAACATGTTTTATTAGTGCTTTCTGGTAAAGGTGGTGTTGGGAAATCAACAATCAGCACACAATTGGCACTTGCACTTAAGGAGTCAGGTTTTCGAGTGAGTTTCAAAATTTCTGACAATTGTAGGTTAGATTTCTTACATATCAAAAATGTTGTAGGTTGGTTTGTTAGATGTTGATCTTTGTGGACCTAGTGTACCATATTTGTTGAATTTAGAAGACAAAGACGTTCATCAATCTTCTGATGGGTATTGAATATAATTATTATATATTATTGTAAAAATTGCATTTACGAATTTTTATAAAAATAATTTTTTTTTTTTTATGTTTGTGTATATTATTCATAGAATATAGTTATTTAACTGTATTATACATATTTTATTTTTTAGATGGGTACCGGTGTTTGCAGATAAAGAACAAAAATTGGCTGTCATGTCAATAGGATTTTTACTAAAATCCAAGGATGATAGCATTGTTTGGAGAGGTCCAAAGAAAACTGGGATGGTTAAGCAATTTTTAACTGATGTCATTTGGCAAGATATTGATTATTTAATCATTGATACACCACCAGGAACCTCTGATGAACACATCACAGTGATGGAAAACTTAAGGTGAAATTAATTTTTTTCTTATTCATATATTTGTTGCTTTAAGTGTAAAAGAATGTAAAAAAGATTCCATGTATTTGTAATGATTCTAATGTCATGTGTTTTTGGTCTCTCACATGTGACTATGATTGATAATCATGTGACATTCAAATAAAGTATATTTCTTAGTTAGATAAGCATTAGTCATGAGATTGATAAGCTTATATGCTTGTTTGAATATGTATTAAAAGAGAATACATCATAACATATGGTATATCAAAATGAATAGATAAAAAGAATTTTTTTTCTTTTTTTTCAGAAATGTTAAATGTGATGGTGCACTCATAGTAACCACTCCACAAGCAGTTGCAGTAGATGATGTTTTACGAGAAATAACATTTTGTAGGAAAACTGGAATCCATATATTTGGTATTATTGAAAATATGAGTGGTTTTGTTTGTCCAACATGTTCAGTTAGTATAAACTGTTCATTTAAACTATAAAACGAAATTGTATGATAAATTTACGAAAAATATCAATTATAGGAATGTACAAATATATTTTCCGCGGGTGGAGGAATAGCTCTTTCGAAAATGGTAAATGTTCCATTCTTAGCAAAAGTGCCTATAGACCCACAAGTTGGAAAACTCGCACAAACTGGTCAAAGTGTTTTGGTAACCTTACCTGATAGCCAGGTAGCACAAGTGTTTCGGAAACTAGTCGAGGAACTTACCCAGAGCAAGGAAGCATGAAAAATTTGATCTCATGTGCACGACGTTTCCAGCGAAATACAGTAATTGTTCGTGATGGTAAAATCAACTTTAGTCCACTGCAAAATATCGCATTTTTATTATTTTGTAATAAGACTAAATAAGGTAAATTAATTGAAAAAGAAAACATGTAAGTTTTAGTAAACAATGTAACTGTATTTCATGACATTATGATAGATATACATAACAATGTAAGATATTTGCATTGTATACATTTAATATATAGGATTACAAGGGGTTCATTTAATTGCATTTTATACCAGAGGTAGAATGTAGATGTATAAATACAACAATTTTTATATGGCAGTATTTACGGGAGGTACAAGATTTTATTAAAGTTTTTTTGCATGTTATAACAAATATTAGTACACCTGTGTACATATGATTCCGTATCGACATTAATGGGAACAAGGAAATACAATTTAAAGCTTTTGTACAAAAATATGAATAGATTAATATACCACTGTATAATGTATATATATCAAAATCTGTAAATCTGTGCATTGCTCTATGAATCTTTTTTAAACTCAATGTTATCCAATTAAATTCAATATTTACAATTTTTAATTGTTGTACACATATTCAAAAATAAAAAAATCTATTTTTCCCCTAGTCTAATACTTATTTGTTAAACGATAATTAAAATGTTATTGACTCGGTAATCGGTTCTGGTAAGCAGTCCAAAGTTCTTTTTTGTATTCTAATGTGGCAGCCAGTTTATCTTCTGCATCAGTAATACCTCTACCAACTACAACTATATCAGCTCCAGAATTTACAACAGATTTTGGAGTATTGTATTGCTGCCCTAAATCGTCAGAACCTTGTGACAGCTTTACACCAGGTGTCAATTGTATCAGACCCAAATTCGAGAAAATATTCGATTGACAAACGATACCAATTACCATATCTGAATTTTGTGCAATAGATGTAGCGCAAAGCGTGTATTCATTGACGGTCAAAGCTCCTTTAGAAGACATTTCTGCTATCACAAAAAAACCACGAGGTTCACTTATGTTTTTTAAACCATTCTGTAAACCGTCTAAGATACTTTGACCTGCGACTGCATGTACTGTAACGATATCTGCCCATTTCGCTATTTTATAAATGCCTTTCTCATACTGTAAAGATACCGTATTTCCGATATCAGCAAATTTCCTATCTTCCATCAATAAAAAGTTATGCTTTTTAGCTAACTCTTTTAAACGCTTAATAAAATCATCATTAAAATCTTCTACTATATCTACATGTGTTTTGAGTAATACAATGTGCGGTCCTGTTAAATCAGCTATTGCTATAATGTCATCTGCTTTAGTCAAATCTACTGCTAAGCATATTGTAGATTGTTTTGTTTCCATTAAATTAAACAACTTGGATGCAATTTCATTTTTAGTCTTAGTGGCACGAACATGAAATGGAGTCTTCAATCGTTTTCCTATAACTTTTCAAAATGAAGAATTTAATTTATTTCGTATGATATAATAAATAACTCCTTTTCTATTAAAAGTTATTTTACCTTGAACAGGAATAACTGGTGCTTGACACTTTAGTAAGTAGTCAGTTACTTCCTTAACAATTTTTGGAGTAATTTTATTAGCTTCAAGGAGATATGCCATAAGTCTAGTAGTCGTAAACAGACTCCACATTCTAATTCCATGATTTTCTATATTTCTTTGACCACCTTGTTCTCTGTCAATTACCACAAATGTATCTGTCACTTTTAAACCTTCATTTCTTAAAACATTTGCAGTTTCTAAAATGCTACTACCACTTGTGACCACGTCTTCAATAATTACACAACGATCTCCTTTTTTAAAGTTACCTTCTATAATCTTCTTTGTACCATATGTTTTTATTTCTTTTCGTTTGATTAACATAGGCACATTAGTGTTCACAGAAATTAAAGTTGCTAATGGTAAAGCTGTATAAGGCACACCACAGATTTGTACTATATTCGAACATTCTTCTGCAAATATCCATAGTATTTTAGCTAAGCGAGCCTAGACATAGTATAGGTATAAGTATCATAAATATAAACTGTTGCTGTAAGACTTATTTAAATACATAAAAATAATTAAACTTGCTGTAACAATGATACATACCATAATTTTTGGATGCGAGATTAACACCCTTAAATCGAAATATATTGACGTTTTTAAACCAACTTTGGTTACAAAGTCTCCAAATTTTAGCGCATCTATTTCGTAAAGTGCTATAGCCAGTTCTTTTAATTCAGCATCCATGGCGTTTAATTTTTTAAACATTTTATCGTATTATGTAAACACCACCGTAATTTGAGAAAATGAATGGCACGAGGTTATTACTTATGGTTAAGGTTAATTATATAGTTTGATGTTACAGAGCGTTTTTATTTTGTACCTTATTCTTAAAATCTCTATAATCTCAGATATTATAAATATAGATACGAAATAAATGCAAAATAATTACGTTTAACATGGAATGACTGAGAACAATCTCACGATTATCATATATTTACTTTGCTCCCCAACTTGTGACGAGGGTCAATCTTTCGCGCGCAAATTCAGTGTTAAATTCCTTTTTTTTGAAACGATTTATATAGACTATTTTATTCGATTTAATGACTAATATTTCGAAAGATTATAGTAACTTCTAAATCTTTGTATATAATTACAAAGATTTATTCTTACAAAGGTAAGGGTTTAAATAAAAAGTCGAAAATATTTAATATCTGTGATATCTGTTTTATTTTTGTTATTCAATATTTCTGTTAATATAAGTGAAAATTTGCTCCTAATCGAAGCGACAGAATACCGTAAAAATACATTATCGTACTATGTGCCATAATATCCAAAGTTCAATGTTTTCCGGTTATTTCTTTGTTTTATTTATTGCCCCAACCCCAAAGACCTTTAACAAATCCTGTAAGACCAACTTGACCTCCTTTTTTACCTTGGTCGCCGAGTTTTTCGCTCAAGTCAGGGAATTCAACCATATTAAAGGCCAAATCGAAAAATAGTGGTTTGCAAGAGATAGGTTGCATAGACGGTGGTAATTTGTAAACGTTCGGTTGCTTCGTAAGAAGTGCACTATCTTCTCTATATTCGTGTAAACGTTTATACAGAGGTTTCTTTGTTTTCGTGTATTTATTAGTACCGGGTTCTTCTTCTTGTCCATCTTCTAAAACACTGTGTGCATGTGCTGCATATTTGGCACCTTCTATAGAAGGCTCCAGTTTCTGGAGAGCTTCTCTTAGAGATTCTGGAAGCACTTTGTCATATTCTAATGCATCTTTTACATGTCGTGCAGACCTTTGATATAAAGCCATAGCTTCTCGCCAACGATGAAGATTTGCCAGCGATTGCGCCATGTAGTAACACCTGAAAGCTCTGTAACCCTTGGTTTTAGCTTCCTGTTCGCGCACAAATTCTTCGTCATCTTGTAACTGTGATATTTCAACAAGTATGTGAAGCGTTGCCTCGTATAATCGTACAATATCTTGTGGCTTCGTTTTCGCGGACTCTTCCGCCGCTTTAATCAACGCTAAATTCCTTTCTAGCGTGCGGGATAATCTAATATATTGCAAATATGTAATTAAATGCTGTGAAGGTGCCAGCTTGTCGTTGTCCTTGTTTTTTAACTCATTCTTGAACAGATCTCGTACAGTCGAGATTGCATCTTTACAATCTATTAAGTGTGCTTCCAACAAATCGATTTTAGCTTGATTCGTTGCCGCCTTTTCTAACGTTTGATTTAGTCTAGAATCAGCAATTAAAAGACCAGCAGCTCTTGGTGGTACTACACCACAAGAATGGCCACGCCAGGTCACTTCTTCGACATTTGCTTGTTTTTCTCGAGTCTGAGCTATCAAGGAATCTAAACTGGCAAGCAATTCACCACTCAATTGTCCCCTCATTTGCATTAAATCATCTATGGCAGTCGTATCTCCGATGTTATAAGCACAGTATCTAAGGTTTGGTGCAAGCTCTTCAACACGAGCATTGTACATTATTTGCTCAGATTCTGGTAGTGCAGAGGCCAATTTTCCATATACCACCTGAGCCTTTTTCAAGTTCTCCATTGCTTTTTTCCATAATTGTAATTCAAAATGTAAGGATCCATGTATCCATGCCACGTAAGCTTGTGCTTCTAACTTTGTCCTTGCATCACAGTTGACACTCTGAAAAATATACTTCCATTAAAAATTCAATAGAGTTTAGTATATGAAAATTTTTTGTTTACCTCTATTAATTCTTGTAATTGTAAAGAATATGTAGCAGCTTTTCTTAGCCTTGATATCAAATGAAATTTTTTCCTTGGCTCTGTGTTAGATTCTTGACGTAATTGCATGGCATAACTCCAAGCACGTTCTGCCAGTATTAGGGGAACTTGTAAAAATTTATCATCAGTAACCATTGTGGTTGTTATGTCTCTTCTTTTAAAATGACGCCTGTCTCCTTGTGGCACTTTTAATACTTTCCTAAGGCGCCTAAGCCTTCTTGAGCAATAACCCCGGTATCGTTGATAATCACCATGCCTTAACCCATGTTGTTGCTGTGCATCTTTTATAATTTTCAAAACTATGTAACTGTTAAGAAACAATATATAATTGGTAACATAAATTGAACAGATACATAACTTTAGAAGTTGAAATGACACATGAAAAGCAAGAAATGTCACATAAGGGTTAGGAAATAACATATGGCGTTGACAGAACTATTTTCATGAACAAAAAGATCTTTAAGAAGGATACTTTTCAACGAGAACATTTTCTGTCCTGTCAGTATGGCATCATCGTTTATTTGATTTTCTTTCAACGTCTCGATACTTTTTTCTTCGACCACCATCGTGTTGTAACACGTATTCAATTCTTTCTGAGGCTGTTAATCACAAAATAACTATAGGTATGTACGTGGTACAGTTCACATTTGATCATATAAACTCTGGCGGTGACTTTGAATTCAAGATAGCATAATGACTAACAAAAATAAATTAATAAACTGGAAATTATATTCCACTAAATTACAAATTTAATTACTCATGTAAAATAAAAGATATTTAGTTTGAAATTGAAAAATATTTTCACAGTCGTATTCCGAAAGCTAAGAGACCATTTTTGTAATCAATGACATCTAGCGAAAACATTATTTTCTGTTGAAAATCGAGAAATGGTAATAAGAATATAGAATGAGCAAGAAGGTTATCATATACCTCCTTGTGTCGTTACAACACAGAGGAGAAATGTGGAAGAAGGATAGAGATAGACGTATTACTAACTTTGTTTATGTACTCCTCATGCCTCCTAATAAATCAATGAAGTTTAATGAATTATTTCATTTAGATGAACAATTTGTAAAGTTTTAGTATCTCGTTATAAAGGTAAAACTGTAGGCATCTTCCGTGCATATTTTTTAACATTATTTTCGATTTATTAGTATTGCTCGGACTGCTTGAACATTTGCATCGCGCATTCACCATTTCTCTTTAATTTCACACTTCTTCTCTATTAATTTATAGTTTTCACAATTGCTACTGAAAGAATAGTCTTCTCTTTGCCTTCGACGTTGATAATCATCGTAAAATAACGTATAGAAATACAAAAAATTTGTCCCTCTTTTAATTGGCTAAAGCAAATAAATTAAAGTAATTAGTATAATTTACGAAGTTTTGCAATTTCATTTCATTAAGTAAGTTCTTAAATTTCTTTTTACAACAATTTTGTTAAGATACTGCAAAATAAATCATTTTTTATAAAAATATTTTTAGCAAGTGTTACCGACTGAGAAAATTCTTCGTCAGTAAATTCAATTCTTTCTCAAATTATTATTTGATAAAAATTACTTGTGAATACAAGTAGAAAGTGTTTTCTTAAATATATATCTATGTAGAGAGCAAATTATTCGTGATTACGTGCGAAATTAATGAAAATATGGTAGACGTGCGAAGCATTAGTTCGGACAGGCCGTGCAGTAAATACAAATAATTACTTTTTAACGAGAAAACAGTGTTAAAAAGTATACAGGCGGGTTGATCGAAGTATTATCTTTATAATGAGATATCAAAAGTTTACAAATTGTTCGTGGAAATGGAGTAATTCATTAAACTTCATTGATTTATTAGAAAGTATCAGGAGAACATAACCAAAGTTGGTAGCGTGTCTATCTCTGTCCTCCTCACACATTTCCACTCTTTGCCTGCGGTCACGAGAAAAATACTCTCGTTAGATAGCGTTGATAGTTGTGCTCACTTTTTTCGTTCCTCGTCTCGTATGGACACTCTAGCGTAGTACGCGTGACTGCAGGGTTGCATTTGTTAGGCGTTTAATCATATAAACCGTATAACCATATTATCGGTACGCTATTTCAAACTGCGATTAAAAATTTTATCCACTGCAAGACGCGAGACTAACGAGATTATCTTTATTTTTTCAGGCCATATCGCTCTTAATTCTTGCAAATTCGATGATGACTACTTCCACTACTATTCTTGCGTAATCGATAATGACTACTTCTACGACGACTGTTTCTTCACCACTTCTTGCATGTAAGTAATATATTAGTATTATTTTTAAGGTGACATGGTAGAGTTTATGTATGTATATGGTTTAGCAATAGGTTAGTAACAGGAGCGGTTATTAATATACGTAACATGTGTCCGACTAATGACAGAGCTATGCTACTTAAAAAGGGCAAAACATTTAAGTAGCTCAAGTCAGGAATGTCTGAGACCTAAGTGAAAACTTGTTAATCCTAAATAACTATAAATCCTAAAACTAATTAATTCTAAAAAAAAAATAAATAAATAATAGAAATTAAATACAGTGCATTATAGTATGATATAATAGAATATAACAGAATACATTAAATTTTTAAATTAAATTTTTCATTCATCCTTTGTTCTTTGAAGATATACGATTTTTATACCTCGCATGATTTCGCGTCTGAGATCTCATTGGAAATGAAAAAGATCACTCTGCGTGCATAGGAGTATCTTCTACGGGGGTGCTTAACACGAGAATGCTTGCATACTTGGATTGCAACGAAAAAGCTGGCCGCTGAGCGAAAAGAAACACACTCCAGCTTCTGCGAATCCTTCGTGATTATGCAAACGATGCATTAGCATGCATCCCATCGACATATACCGCGTTCCCGTGGAAACAGCACCCTGGAAATGCTGCGTGTCGTTGGATGCAACCCTTACTTATCATCTCGACGACACGTATAATGTATCATATCCTGGAATGATTACTGTACAATGAATTTTAACTTATTCTCTAAGCTGTAATATCCATTGGGTGATTCTTGTAGGGTTTACTTTTCTGAAAATGAATCCGTAATCGAAATTTCTCTATCACCCTCAGAGATAAGTTTTGTTTTTCTAAAAAAAAAAAAAAAAGATTTTTCGGTAAAATGAAGCGAAGAATAAGAACGTTGGGGGATCATTGTTGTCTTACAGGTTAAGTGAGAGTACCCCTATTTTAGCCCCCGATTTAATAAAAAATAAGAAGGAACTAAAAATATTTCGAAACACGTGTAAGTACGTATCATGGAAATTTAACATATGAAAATGGAAATGCAGATATAGTTCATAAAAATGTATAAATAATTCAATTTGTTATTAATAATAAATTGTCCTTAGCGTAAATTTATAATACAAGAAAAGAATTAATTCATTGGTTATTACTCGAACAATATCATACTAATGTTTAAATGTACTTATAATTTGCAAAAGTGTAAAAATTATTGCACTTATTTCTAATAATAAATTGGTCACAACGTAAATTTATAATACAAGTGGAAAAATTACTAAATTATAGGCTATTACTAGTATATATAACGTGTTTGCGTGAAAATGTATCTATAATCAGGAACAAGGTAATAAATTGTTACACTGACTGTTAATGACAAATATTTTGCAACGTATATTAACGATAAAAGTAAAGAAAGTTAATAAATTATTAGCTACTACTTAAACAAACAACGTATTTGAGTTAAAATGTATTCGTAACTTACAAAAAGCTAATAAATTAATACATTTATTGTTAATAACAAATTAAAATCATTGATAACAAATAGTTTGCAAAGTATATTAACGATGAAAGTAAAAAAAGTTAATAAATTATTAGTTATTACAGCGAAAAAGTAACTTTTAAAGGAATCGGTAAAGTTCGGAAATTTTCGCCGATCTTCGGCCGGCCGGCCGCCGCTATATAAGTGACCCGCGTGAAGGCTCGAGTCAGTTGTCGGTTCGACTTCGGAGGGTGCGGGTTAATATTTTTTCTTTCAGGTACTAATTATTTTCTGTTTCAGGTTTTAATTATCTTTCTTCTTTCAGATTCTATTTTTTTTATTATAGATTTCATTGTTTGTGCATTCGAGTATTTGGTACAATATTCGAATGCTTCGTCGTTGGTTTATTTATATATCATCGTTGGCTAAATCAATGGCTATTCAGTAACCATTGTCCACTCTCTTAAATAATTTAATAATAATTCTTTCTTTCAGGTACTAATTATTTTTCTTCCAGATTTTTTTTCTTTCATTTTATTTGTCTCTTTGTTTCAGCATTCGAGTATTTCGTACAATATTCGAATGCTTCGTCGTTGGTTTACTTATGTCTCATCGTTGGTTAAATCTTTCCTTCCACAAATTTTACGACTTCCGTTCGTTTTGTTTTCGTTAGAGCGTTCGAGTATTTCGTATAATACTCGAGCGCTTCCTCGTTGGTATGTTTATATCTCACCGTTGGAATGTTTCTGTCTCGTAGTTATGTTGCTCAGGTCTCGTCGTTGGCTTGCTCGTTCCACTTGGTTATT